CCCGCACCAGTCCACCCCCCCCCCCTCACCCTAAACTCCTCTCCAGCCGTCCGGACCACGCTCCCTCTCCCGCCCCGCTGCTGTAACCGAATCACTGGGGATTCGATTTCGATGCCGGCGTACGACGTTTTTCCCTGTGTGGCCTGAATGCGGCCTGAATGGCAGTGTGTGTGTGTTTTGGGGGGGGGGGGGTTGCTGAGTGCAGAGAAAATAAGGCGCAAAGAAGAGAAAGTTAAGCCCGAGAAGTATACTAACAGCTACTAACAGGATCGCAGGGGTGTCCCCCGGGCCCACGCTCACGGACCTCCGGTGTTGCCGTTCAACACCGTGCATCACGGCAGCTGCATACCGCGCGGGCGTGCGAGAGAGTTATGTGGACCACCCAGCGTATGGGAGAATGATTGGACCTCAATCAGAGAGCAGTGGGACAGTTTCGGAAACAACTTTCCATTCTTGGACGCAGCCAGTAGCCGATTTATTTGCGGCGGTGTGTGTACTGACCCGCGCGCAGCCTGCACACAAGCCCCCCCCCTCCTCTCCACCTCTGCGCACTCACGCTCGAGGGGCCTAACCGACCATCATCAAGTAAAGCCCTCCATGACAAAGGGCGGCCGGGGCCGGGCCGGCGGCCAGTCGGCCAGTCAATGTGCGCGATCGCTACATCCCCCTCTCGCTCGCACCCTCTCTCTCGCTCTCGGCGTCTCTCTGTCTCTCTGTCTCTCTCTCTGTCTCTCTCTGTCTGTCTGTCTGTCTCTCTCTCTCTCTCTCTCTCACTCTCTCCCCCCCCCCCTCTCTCCGGGCCACTCAAACGCCCGCTGAATGTCCCACGCGGCACTCTCATTACACGTATGTTTCAGCCGTTCGGCTCATTGTCACAATGTACTCCACATCAGGGCCGGGCCGCTGCGGGGGACGAATCATTACTCACACGATCCTATTGAGTGTGTCGTCGACAAACAAGGCCACGCGTGTTTATTATTCCCTCGTAATAACTATTCGCGTCGGGGTGGGCGACATTATACGCGCGTCCCGCTCCACTCGCTGCTGCGGAAGATTTCAATTTCCCAGAAATAAAATTGAAGAAGAAACGTCCAAAATTTTTTTGATGACAGATTCATTAATTTTTTTAAGTAGGTGAAGAGCAATTAAATGTATTTGGATGAAGCAATATTTTTTCCGATTTTTTCTGGAAAAGTTACAAATTCCTCTATAAATTCGCGATCTTCGAGTTGCTACACCGCCCTGCGTCACGGAGTATCTGTGCTGTCCCCACCACGTCGCCACGCGTGTCCTCCTGTCCCAGTCCCCGTTTGCCGATCATATCGTATAGGGAACAAACAGAGCCAGCTACATGATGAAACAGCACGCCCCGCCCACGCTATTGCCGGCCAGCGCGCCGGTTACCCCGCCGGTCCTCCGCATTGATATGTTTTATTGTCGAGCTGGGGCCCGAGAGGCTCTAGGCGGCGGTAGCTCGGCTCCCCTGGAGGTCGCGCGGGGTCGTCCCCGTCCGGGGTCGGCCAGGGGGTCGCCGGCCACGATGATCGCGAGGTACACAATGAGGCTGATCCCCCGTCCCCGACCCGGGCAGTCCCCGTCCCCTTTGTCGTGTGCTCGCCTTCCAGCCCACCCCATCTCCGCGGAGGCAAGGGTGACCCGGGGGTAGTGCTTCACTATAAATTCAAACGTGCACCAAATTTTCTTCTGTTTTCTTGATTTTTAATTCTAATTTTCTTTGTTGTTTTCTTGTTATGATAGTTTTTTTTCTCTGATCTTTTCATTGTTTCTACCCAATTTTTCCTGTTTTCCCTGTTTTGATTATATTTGTTTTTTTTGTTGTTTTCCTGTTTTTGATTTTTTTTTTTAAATTTTTATCTGATGTTTTGAGGGTCACCGGTCCCGGTGTTTTACTCACCGTGGAAGCACCTGACGAGCTGCAGGTTGTCGATGGCCACGTGCCCCGTGCTGCGCGTCACGTTGGTCACCTCGATCACGATGCGGATGGTCTGCGCCACGCTCCCGATGGAGATGTTGTGCTGCTGCCACCTGTCGGAGACACAGGACAGTCAGGTAAACCGGGTCGTTTTTTTAAAAGGGACAATTCACTGGTAAACTCGGTGTAAAACTGCAAGTTGAAAACTTGCAAATGTTTGACTACGTGGAAATACACTTGCAAGTGTTAACACGAGTTGCAGCTCGGTGACTGTACACTTGTGCGGCTTATCAGTGTATGAAAAAACTTGCCCAGTGTGGCGGGATAACCAAAAGAAAGCAGGAAGCAACAAAAGAAACACACGCTCTACGTCCAGAAAGTAGTATTTGACAATGTTTCAATCAATGTGCAGCCTGCAGCTTTCACCTGCATAGCACTTCCAAAAAACAACTTAAACCGCGATATAGAGCATTTCTTCTCGTAGGTTATGGTGCTTTGTTTTGGTTCCCGCTACTCTCCGCTCCGCCCACACTGGGCAAGGTCTTCGTATTCGCCATATTATTCGTGGAAACGGGCGGCTTTTTCCCGAGCGTGTTGTTTTTATATTTCCCGCGAAAGGTGTGTGTGTGTTTATATACTCACGCGCTGCCCGTGTTGCTGACGTTGTGCGCCAGCTCCCACGGCACGGACGAGCCGTTGCTCTGCTGCGACTCGGCGAACACGGCGATGGAGCCGTTGGCCGTGTGCAGCGACAGCCGCAGCATGCACTGCTGCGCCGTGAACATGTAGGGCGGGCTGATGAGGTGCAGCGACTCGGACGAGTTGGGCTGCGCGTTCAGGAAGAGGAAGTGGCCTGCAAGAACAGAGGTTAGGTTCGGTTAAGTTGGGTTAGGTAAAGTTGAGTTAGAGGTTAGGTCAGGTCAAGTTCGGTTGAGTTCAAAATCCTATGCGTCGGGAGCATGGCGATGTGCAAGTCGACACTGTGAGTTTCTCACAAAGAACTGCTCTTCGTAACGTACAAAGGATTTAGAACCTTTGCAATACAAACAAATCCTTTGTAAAAAGATGCACGGTTTACACTGGCTACGATTGTCATTTATTGGATACGTTCTAGTTGAAAATCAGCCAATCAGTGGCCTCGAAAACCCACTAGAACGTATCCAATAAATGACAATCGTAGCCAGTATAAACCGTGCAAGGGCTCGGCTTTGTAATACGAAGAGCACGCGTCTGTTACACACTTGTGCTCTTTGTAATACGAAGAAAATCCGTTTGTAATATGGTGGTTCCAGATTCTTTGTTCGTTACAAACCCAAATTCTTTGTAGTATGAAGACCACTCTTTGCAAGGAACTATGAGTGGGGCAGAGGCAAGAGAGAAATGTGTGGAAAGAGATTCAGCTGGCAGCAGATGCCGCGCTCGCATACGTCGCCCGTTTGCGCGGGGAATTCAAATAAAAACGGCAATATCATGGTTTATTCCGCCAGCGGTCCCGGAAGGAGGTTAGAGTTTAGGCGCGATCGCGTTACTGTTGTCGACCTCACTTGACTCGCTCAAACCCCCTCCTGACCTGATATCGACGGACGCGGAGCAAAGGCAGGCTTCCACCCCTAATCCTAATCTGCTGGAGTGCAGCAGCAGGCTTGTTGGGGTGGGGCGGGGCAAGAGAGAGAGAGAGAGGGGGGGGGAGGGAAAAGACAAGCACGGCCGCGTTCGGGCTGCTATGGGAGTTGAGTTGCCGCTGCGCCTGCAGTCTTTTGCCGACACAGCCCCGTCGCCCCGCCCCGGCGACTGAGGAGAGGACTCCATCTCCGCGCTGCTCGCCCAGCACAGGCGGGGGGATGGCAGGAGAAGAGGGGGGAGGGGGAGGAGGGAGGCAAGGGGCCTAGGGGTGTCACACCAATCTGGCGGCCGCCGCCCCGCCGCCCGGCCTGCCACGCGGCGCCCATGGCCCTCTGATGTCTTTTGTCTTTGTAGAGTGCCCCGTGCCGGCCTCGCACTGCTTTGGTTTCGCCCCGGGCGGTGGCCGGAGGAGCAGGGAGCTGCTACCGCAGAACTGCGGAGGGAAATAAGAAGAAGGCGGGCGGGGGTGGTGCCTCCACGGCTGCTGCAGGGGCTATAGGAATCGTCCAGAACGCCAGAATTTCGATTCGTTATCGCACAATTATTGTGGGATCTCAGCGAATGCGGGACTCGGGGTAGGCAATCCCGCACTACACGCATGCGCTGCAGGCGAGATGCCTACCTGCCGGGCGCTATGAGAGCTTGCGAAAGGTGAACTAACTTGACAGGTTCGAAACGGCCAATGACGAACGCGTACGACCCGCGCCAGGGAGAGAACTGGGCATGGCACTAAGTTACTAGGCAGCTTGCAGCAAACCAGAACCAGAACCGCAGAGTCATCCCTTTTTAGCAGATGATACCTTAGGACACTTATGCACTTAACATAAGTATACAGGTAATGTTAAGATGTCAGCTACTTTTTTGTAAGTTCCTATTTTGTTAATGTTGTTTCACAGCACCCTACCCTTGCCTTCATAAGAGCGGCAACAACATGTTATCGATTTGCGCGCGCGAAAAATAAAGTAGACTGCAAGAATGTGATGATTATGCAAGTGTTGGGAGAGGCACATCGCATGGCCCTGCTGCTTATGCAGGCGTGTTCCTGATCTCGGAGCCTCCGCCGGGCGGGCGGCGGGGGCAGCAGACTCAGACTCTACACAGCACGAGGCTATCCCCTCCTCCCCCGCCCCGGAGCCATTGCTGGGCGGACGGGTGAAACAAGGGCGTAACTTAGTGTGGAGGCCCCGCGGTCGGCTCCACGGCGGAGGTACACTGTCCGTACCGAGAGCAGCCGTTAACTAAATATATACGTACTCGTGCGGCGTATAATTTCTCCCCCCCTCTCCTCTCTCTCTCTCTCTCTCTCTCTCTCTCTCTCT